ACTAGTTCGCATCTAGGAGTGGCCGACCAGCAACTCACAAGTGTTTAATGCCATTAAGACTTGACTGACGAGACGTTTCGACGATTTTGTTGTTTATGTCGTGTGTTATCAAAGAAAGAATCGGAAGCTCATGCCTTTTCTCATCGTCTACTCTCCGAAAAATGAGGGGACTATCTATGTACGGCCGAAATCGAGCTTGCCTACGACATGACAGGTTAGGAACATGACAACCAAAGACTGAAGATCGACCGCAAGTCCCACAAGCTAGAACCCGGGGTCATAACGCCTGCCTTCGAGAACATTGAGTCCGTAATCCCGGAGTCGACCTTAGCCCCGATCGAGCTCGAAGAAATATTGTTAGTATAACCAACAGAAGACCGAAATATCCATGATCGGTCAGATATTACAGTGAGAATTTCGGCACATATCAATAAGGCACCGGCAATCATCAAATCAAGAGATTTTTTACCTTTTATAGAATTTTACCTAAAGTAGGACTCCTCTACTATATAAAGGGAGGTCTGATAATTCATTGAACACATTGTAACACGTATTCCAAAGCTATATATCATTATTATTTTTTAAAGCTCTTGTTTTTCTGTATCATAGCACCGATCGGAGCGTACTTGATTCGAGGGTGATTAACTTCCCAAGGCTAAGATCATTCAATTCGTGTGGTTTGCAATTACTTTATCATTATTTATTTCAATTGCAATCTAATTTATCGTTTTGTGTCAAGTTAGTCCATGTATACTTAAAATCACTTACAAATTCAATTGTTATTCGATTTAGAAGAGTAAACAATGGAAAGAAACAACATAGTACCGTGAGAAACAGAAAGATGGCATAAACACAATATAATCTGCTAGCAATCCTAGATAAAATACTATCAGATTAGCCGGTACAAAATAGAAAAACGCTCGAGCATCAAACTTAGAATTATTATTCTTATTTTGTTACAACGATTATGTGTAGTCAAAATGAATCATGAATGAATGTGTACATACATATCGTGGCATGTCAAAAGAGGGTTGGGCTAATATATCCTTCGGATTTTTTCGTTCTTATACATTAATTATTTAAAATTTATTTCTCAAATCACAAGAAGTGAAGATTTCGAGAAGAAGCTGAGCGAATGGGGCCTTTTTGGCTCCAAATACGAAGACGCCGCTGATCTCTTCGATAAAGCTGGCAATTGCCTCAGACTCTCGCGCCAAATCATGGGATCAAGCTGGAGCAGTATACATTAAATTGGCTAATTGTCATCTTAAGTTGGGTAGCAAATTTGAAGCTGCTAAAGCTTATGCTGATGCTGCTCATTGCTACAATAAGTCAAACACTAAAGATTTTTAAGTCATGGAAACTTATTTCCTCATGTATTTGGCCCAACTTACAGATATCATCTAATAAATTGAATCAGTTCAAACAAATATGAATCAGAGTACAGATAAACAAATATGAATCAGAGTATATAAGTCGATTTGGAATTTATTCTCTATTTTCTTTTTCTTTAACAAATCGAGTAAGAAAAGAATAATGTATGATACAACAATATACAAATTTAAAATAAATTTACTACAAATTTGATACATTTACAATAACATACAAACTAAAAATAAATTTCACACAACTAATTATACAATATATAACTTATTTACAACTTTCATACATTATTTATACCCAATTAAATACAACTACAATATCATATTAACTTTANTATATATATATATATATATATATATATATATATATATAACTACAACAGAATACAATTTACATATAATTATAATACAACTTTACTGCAATTTCGTAAGTATACTGTATGTCATGTCTTCTTCTTCTTCTTCTTCTTCTTCTTCGAGTTTCAATTCGAAATTAAGCCAAAATCAAGTCTAATCTTCACCAAACACCCTCAAAATTGAGATATAAACTCCAAACAGTATTATTCTCAATTGTTTGCAACAACACTCAATCCAAACAAATAATGGTTTTTGAAAACTCAAATTCGATTTCAAAGCTTCAAAGCTTTTTAGTGGTTGTCAATGGTGGAGAGTCAAACACCTTCAAAATTTATTGATTGACAATTTCAATTTCAACGCCAATTGTGCAACATGAAAAAAAATTACTAAGTTAAAACTCTATAGTACAATGATTGAAATCCATTGATGAATTTCATTAAAAATACATACAACATGAAAGGATAAAAAGTAGAGAACATCAGAGAAAGAAAAATTGGGGAAAGTGCAGAGAATGAGAGATAGAGAGAGAGAGAGAGAGAGACGGAGAGAGAGAGAGAGAGAGCGCGCAAGAGAGAGACGAAGAGAGAGAGCGCAAGAGAGAGAACAGGGATGAGAAATAACTGATTTCTTATTCAATTCCTAATATAAATGGATAGTCATTTAAAACTAATTTGTATATAATTGATAAATTATATATGCCCATGTAATTATATTAAAATTTCATTATGGAGAGTAATAAAGTTTCATACGTAGTATAGGAAAATAAAATTCCTATATTCTTTTACCTTTGTTCTGATGTGGACCTGCCTCATGTACAACATCTTAGGAATGCATTCCTAAAAGGATTTGCAAAGGCTAAATACATAGATAGATACTTAAAGTTGACGACAATTGTCATATAAACACCTCAAGTTTGCCAATGTTCATATAAACACCTCTTCTTGACAGCAAATTTTCCATAAATAAAATGGTGCATCTAATTTGGGTAGACTTCCGTATAATTCTTTTCCTTTGTAAAGAAAGAATTTTTGCTAAATCTGTTCATTCAAATTTTAAATAATATACTCCTAATAATTAAATACTGACAAGTAGTTGTGATTGTGACTACGTCATATCAGCAACATAGTACTTTTATATTTTTTGACAAAAAACAACATGGTACATAAATTGACCAACTAAATTTTAGTTCTAGTTCTAGAAAGAAAAGAAAGAAAAAATAAGCAAAGGAAAGAAGCAAAGTACAAACTCTTGCACTTTATTGGGACTTAAACATTCCACGTCATCAGACCCAATATCAGAACTGGCCCACTAAGAGTGTAGTTTTGGGCCCCACTGGTACCTACCCATTGGTTAATTCTTGTCACAAACCGTGTGCGCGTGTACGTGGGTTCACTTCCAATACTAAACTTGGAGTATTTAGCTAGCCATAAATTTTTAAATTTATTTTAAAAAATTTGATTGGGGTGAAGTTCGATTTGAAGATGAAAATGTATTTGGACATCTGTTTTGGGTGAAGTTTGGTTTGGAGAAACATGAAACATGACTTATACCCACAAGTTCTAAAAATTATCACAAATACTCAACAGTATCATTATCAATAATATTCATTATATTATCGTAAACCATAGTTATGAACATAATAAATTTGATACAAAATTATTATTTTTATAATGAATTACATGATACACTATCAGATGACCGAGAAGACGAAACAACATCGTTACAAAATAATAAATGGTGAGTTCTTTTATAAAATACAAAAGTTTGAGACAATTTTTAAAAAATATAATAGTGATATTTTGGCACAAAACCAGCTATTGAACTGGTTTTGGGATTTGGCCAAAATATAGGCAAAATCTATAGCCAAACACGTGTTTGCCAAATAAAATCCAAGTTTATTTTGGCAAAATCTATGGCCAAACGGGTCCTTAGATTTCATGCATCAGTTATTGTACTTTATAAATGTTTAGAATTGTTATTTTGATAAATGTTTTACAACAATCTGACATATATTTAGAAGTAAAAAAAGATTTTTTTTAAAGATTAGTATATAGCATATGACTATACTAATATTACACCTCTGTGCAAAATTGAATGTTTTAAGTTTCAAATTTTTGAGATTCAACTATCAAAATTATTCTTAATAGTAGTCATTTTGACAACTTATGAAGCTTGACTATCAAAAGATTCTGATATTTATTCTAATCACTTTCACAATCAAACAGAATAAGTAATTTTGCAACAAATAAAATTATTGTCCCAATTAACAAGTATTAGCTGTGTTGGTTTATAAATCTTAAATATTTTGTATGAAGTAGAAGTATCACTTTCAAATGTGAATTTGAGTTTGAGTATCCATTCCAATTTCTTTTTCGTTTTACTTTTCAAGGGATTTTCTTTTTGACTTAGAATATTTCAAGTAGGAATTACTCTTGAAAAGTAAAATGAAAAATTAAATAAAATTGGAATGGAGTTTTTGGCTGAAATTTAGCCATTCACTTCTCAACGTACAATCTCTCTCTCTCTCTCTCTCTCTCTCTCTCTCTCTCTCTCTCTCTCTCTAGATCCAACTTCCTCGTTTGTTGAGTCCTTATCCTATTTTTTCATTCTTTTCCTAATAAAAAAATATTTACTGTTTTCTTATTTCTTTTCTTTTGTAAATAGTAAAAATAGGTAAATGTTATTCTTCTTAATAACGTTTTATCAATTAAAATAGAACGACCATTTACTTTTTTTAACTAATGTAGTAAAATAGTTTCATGTATACGGATCATAGTAACTCCAGCATTATTTTTCATTTAAGTAAGAATAAATTACTTTGCTTAATAAAATAGGAATTATTTTTTCTTTGTTAATCTTTTCCGAATTGAAGTAGGATAAGCATTTAATTTAATTATAAAACCCTTGCTTTTAAAGTTAAAAATGAAAAAGGGTCAATAGTAAATCAGTAACTCAATTGAGGAATTACGGAGCTGTTATTTTGAGGTATTTTTTGTTATTCTTTTCTTCAGTTTTGGGCTTTCTTGTTATGTAATGTACATCACGTAGCATGTTAGTGGAAAAACCTGAAACCCATGAAGATATAATAAATAAATATATATATATATATAAAGTAAAAGCAAAATTTTGGTGTCTTTTTGGGGATTTTGTTGTTTTATTCACAATCATCATTGTTGTTTACCAAACTATAAATCTTTTCTAATTTAATTGAATTTGTCGTGTCTTCTCTATTCTTTCTTTCTTTTTTGGGTAATTTTTTAACTCATCATTTAATTTACCCAGTTTTCCAAGATTTGATTTTTACCCATTGATTTTATCTCTCTATTAAAGGCAAGTAAAAAAGATTGATCTTGTTTTATCTTTTTGGAATTTAATTTGGTGAAATTTTGAGGGTTGAATAGTTCTTTTTAATTCTGTCAGTATTGTAAAGTTTTGCTTACGTGAATCATTGATCACAGAGAAGGTTAAATTTGGTATACAATTGCTTCTCTGTTTTATTTTTTATTTTTTTGTCTGTATATTTCTTGTTTTAGTTTTCAGTTTTTGCTGTTTGAATGTTCATGCATATTTTCAAGAATTCTGTTATGATGAATTTTGACTGAAAATATTGTCTCTGCAGGCGTGATAAATTTAGGGTTGGATGGTATGTTTGTTAAGTCAGTGATTAGAGTTTCAGTTTAGCTCAACTTTTCCATGATCTTGGAGGTAAAAAGCTTCAATCTTTTGTATTGAATCTGTCATTGTCTAATGAAGAATTCTATTTTTGATTTTTAATATTTGCTTATTGTTCTCTTTATATTGCATTGTAATATTTGTGATTTAGAAGGGAGTTTCCACAGAGAAGGTTTTAGGGTGGGGGAGGGGGAGGAGGAGGGAGAGAGAGAGAGATGAGGAGAATAGTTTTCCTTTGAACAATTCTAGATATCATGAACATGGCTTCCATTTGGTTAATTTTGCTTCTATTGCGAAACTTGTATTTTGATGCATTTTATGTCCTGTGCAGAATTTACTTGAAATTATGATTTCTGGCATCAACAATTCCGATTAGGTGAACTTGGAATTATTTGTTTTAATGGAACGGTTTTGCTTCTCTATCCTAAGTTCCTTCCCTGGGAATTCNGGGGGGGGGGGGGGTAGATCGAGATTAGCTTAGTTTGAATTCATTTATGAATCTTATTAGGCTCAGGAGCTGTACTTATTGCAGTAACTGCAAAATGGTAGCACGAAAGATTTGTATGATTGATATTAAAGGCTTAGAAGTTCCACTCTATAAGTCCATTTTTCCATTGGAATCACTAGACAGCATAGCTCGAGAATTGCAGATCGTCTGCTGAATATAACTGAATCTGATGAAAATAGGCTGCTTGTTTAGTGTATATTTCATTCATTTATGTTGTAATGTTCTTTGCTCAAAATTATCTTCCTCTTCTGATATTAAATAGGCTATATACCTGCTTGGAACGTATTCGGCAAATCTGCCCTCGTTCCTGCCAATTTAGAGTGTGTTGTGAATCGAAGTAAAAATGTAGCTTTAGTCTCTTTAGTTCTTGGAACTATCTCCAGTTATCTTTTTTAAACTAATTCCTGCCTCAAAATGTTGATAGATTGCCGAAGGCCTTTATTGGCTATTAAATTAGTGCAGACTTCTGATTTAATCAGGGTTTAGTTGTATCAAGGAAGATCACCATTAAATTTTGAAAATACATGGTCAACAAATTGATGTAAAGGGAAAACCATATCGTGTTTTTTGAAATTTTTAGGATCTTGAATTACTAGCTTTCACCCCAAGCTTACATTTTGAGAGCCTTTGGCTAGTAAGGGAAATGAAAATAATGGTTCATGCATTGAATAGAGTTTATTTTCTGTTCCACTACCCGTCTATTTAAGTCACAGCGGTAATCTTTGGAGGATTCTCATCAAATGGTCATTTATATCAATTTGCCTTCCGTTCTTTCTTACATTGTCGTTTTGATGCGTTGGCAGTTGAAAATTCATATCTGTATAATCAATACAGATTTATGCAATCCAGAATCTGAAGATATAACTTCACGGAAAAGTCTATATAACTGAAGAGAGAAGACCACCAGTTCAATAAGCATCGATCTATTTTTAGATCTCTGACAAGGTGAAGGTTATATACTATCCTTCAGGCATAAAATTAGGGGTATATGTGCTCCAGGGCGCAATCTGAAAAAAAGAGCATGAAGGTTTGAAGCTTGGCTTTTGATTTGTAACTTGTTTATGTATTTTAATTGATTTGAAGTTTTAATTTCTTTCCCGTATCTATCTTATTCTCCGATATGTTATGTGGCCTTTACCTTATATGCTCAGTCTAGATCTGTACTTTTGTGTGATTTTTAAAGAAATAGAAAAGGAAACAAAGAAGAATTGGATATCTAGAGGACTAAAGAAGTTTTTTTAATACAACAAAATCAAAGTCTGTAGATATGTCTTCGTGAAGGTAACGCTTTTATGAAATCAAACGGAGTACCCTGTTCTTTCAGATAAAATAAACATTTTCACATGGAAGATAGGCCTACACTCTTCGTCAGAATTCCATCTTGAACTAATGATCATCATCTGTATTTCTCCTAAAACTTTTAAGTACTGTTGTCATATCATTCAATGACCAAATGCATGGCTGGTTGTCTGCTGCTTTTACTAGTTCCTAGCTTTATTTGGTTAAGACTTTTTAGCAAGATCCAAATCTTGCTGCTCATCACTTTGCTGAATTTTCCTTTAGCAAGAAAAGGGAGAAGTGACATTTGCGCATTATACAAACTACTGGTGTTCCATTCTAATTGATCCTGATATCTGAAAGAGTTAGATCTGTTGAGTACTTTTCACGATTCCCATCTTCCTTCTTGGTTGATCAGATTGTCTTGAGTGAAGACAATGCTGATAAAAGATGATGCTTTCTGGTTCTTTTGATCCCTCTTCTGACGAAGTTGGAAGTTAGGATAAGGAAAAGAAGATGGATAATTACACATCACTGTTATCTTGTGACTTTTTAGGCTAAGTATTGTTCTCTTGCACTCATCCTATGCTGTTTCATGCCGTATTCTGTACAGGCAAAGTCTTACATGCTTCAAGGCGTAGCGTTACTAATCTGACCGCTAGTTGATCAGTTTTTGCAAGCTTTACAAATTTTGAACAATTTATTCTTCAATGCTTTTTGACTAAAAGAACTTTCTTAAGTAGAAATCACATTTGATTCTGTAGAAAAACCAATTTGAAGACTGAATTCATTCATCTTATTCAGATTTAACTCTATTCTCTTCCCTTGCAGGAACATCCTTCTAGACAGGCTCCAAAAGGTGAAAATAACATTGAGAGTTCAGGAAGCCCTCGTAGTCGGAAGGTAAAAAGGACAAATCTATAAGCCTTTTTCGATTTGGTGTTCATCATCCCATAGCTTGCAGAAATATGATTAATCATATAATGTGTTTAAAATTGTACCGATTCTCCATGTTTGATGTCGTAGGATGCCTATTCATGCATGTGTCCTAATTTATATACATTGGTGGATGTTGCTATGACCATTGATAAGAAGGCGTGGAGGTCGAGGATTAGGGTAGTAGGTTAGGTAGTCTAGATTATTCATACCGGAAGTATTAGTACATACTCTCGCATTCTGTTGGTATTAGGTTTCTATGACTACCTGACGTTTCTTGCATTTCGATCATCTTATTATCTTGTTGTTATTTATGCTGCTTTTACATGGCTTCTCGGTGTTGTCCCGTCTTGTTTTTCTTTTTATTAATGTGGTACTTATGCTTTCTCAAGTCGAGGGTCTATTGAAAACAGCTTCTCTACCCCCACAATGTAGGGGTAAGGTCGAGTCCATTACTTAGATAGTTACTGAACTATGTGAAATTATGGAGTAAAGTCACTTTTCTTTCATTTGTAACAAGATAGTCACTCAACTATCTTTATTGCACTCTGGTGATCACTCAACCAGATTTATTGATTTTTTCGATAGAAACTGCTGAATTGGCGGTCCACATATATTTTTGGACCACATAAAATAATTAACACCCAAACAAAGCATAGAAATCTACCCATACACCCAATCCGTCCCGATCCGACCCGTTTATAAGATAGAGCGTTGTAAGACTTTTGGGTGGATTTTTATCTTTATAAATGGGTCGGGTCGGGTCGAATTGGGTGTAGGAGTGGGTCTATATGCTTTGTCCAGATGTTAATTATTTTATATGGTCCAAAAGTCTATGTGGACTGCCAAGTCAGTATATTCCACCGAAAAAATCAATAAATCCGATTGAGTGATCATCAGAGTGCAATAGGGAAAGTTAAGTGACTTTTATATTACAAATGAAAGAAAAGTGATTTTACTCCATAATTTTACATAGTTTAGTGACCATGTGGGTAATGGCTCCGGGTCTGAGTACACAATACCCTCCCCAGACCCCACTATGTTGTTGGTGGTGGTGGTGGTGGATGTTGCTAATGAACTTGGATAATTAAAATCATTATCTTTTTAGTTTAATTTCTAACATCCATTTTTGTTAAGCATGATCCCGTTGCTGTCTAATGCATACCATGGCACTCATATGACCTGCCTTTTTCTCTCTGTACATAAATAGTTCTTTCTTGTTCTGGAACAGGTGTCAGCAAGATGGAATCCTGGCGAAGCTTGTAGGCCCATCTTACAGGATGCTCCTGTGTACTATCCAAATGATGAGGTAAACTTCATGTTCAAAAGTTATTATATTCCCTTTTGTGTGCTTAAAGCCATTGGTTAAGCTCATCCTGTGGTCAAATGATAGGAGTTCAAAGATCCACTTGGTTATATTGCAAGCATTCGCCCCTACGCGCAGCCATATGGCATATGCAGGATTGTACCACCTGCATCTTGGAGTCCACCCTGCCCACTTAGAGAGAAGAATGTGTGGGAATTTGCTAAGTTCTCGACTCGAATCCAGCAAGTTGATTTACTTCAGAATAGGGAGCCCATGAAAAAGAAAAAACCGAGAAAGAGGAAAAGACGATGGCACTCAAAGATGGGATCAACGAGGAGACAACCAAGAGCTCTAGGTTCTGAATCAAATACCCAATCGGACAATAGTGATGAGAAGTTCGGGTTTCAGTCAGGGTCTGACTTCACATTTGAGGAATTTCAGATATTTGCCAAAGAGTTTAAAGAGTTCTATTTTGGGATGATGGATACTGAAGATGGAGTCTGTGACAAATTTAAACAGGACAAGGTATGGCAACCGTCCATTGAAGAAATTGAAGGTGAGTATTGGCGCATCATTGAGAAGCCAACAGATGAAGTTGAGGTAAGGGAATTTAGTTTGGTATTTACTTTGTATTTTGAGATATCTATTATGTGCTCATCAGTTGAATAAGACTAAATTTCGTACCTTCATCTGATGAATAGGTGTACTATGGAGCTGATCTGGAGACTGGAGTATTCGGCAGTGGATTCCCCCAAGAATCTTTATCTTCAAATGCTAGTTCTTTAAATCAGTATGCGGCTTCTTGTTGGAACTTGAACAACTTACCGCGCCTGCCGTGTTCTGTATTGTGCTTTGAGGAGTGCAATATCTCAGGAGTTCTGATCCCGTGGCTGTATATTGGAATGTGCTTCTCATCATTCTGTTGGGTATGTCATGAAGACTTTTTAATTTAAGCTTTCAACTTAAACTTAATATATAGTTGACAAAGGGAACTCATTAAATAAAGCAAAGTTGGGTGCATTTATGAATTCTTCTTTTGTTTACCTGAATATTATTGATCCCNCCCCCCCCCCCAAAAAAAAAACCACCATCACATATTTCTCTTTCTTTTTTTCTTTTTTTTTTTCATTATTATTTGATCAGCTTATTTGCTTTATATTGACTGAATACTTATTTTCTTTTATCTAATTAAAGCACGTTGAGGACCACCATCTCTATTCTCTAAATTATATGCATTGGGGTGAGCCAAAGATTTGGTATGGAGTGCCAGGAACTCATGCTTCAGCCCTGGAGGATGCAATGAGAAAGCATTTGCCAGATCTGTTTGAAGAGCAACCTGATTTGCTTCACGAACTTGTAAGTACTCCAAATTAAATCTTGCTCAAGCACTAGTCATCCTAGTTCCATAAGTTCTACTCCACTGGCTAAGTCGAGCAATGATGAGCTATGCAAGTTACTCATCTAGTTACAATGAGCTACGCAAGTCCCTTTTCCTTTTCATAAACTTCACCTTATTTCCAAGTTTACTCATCAACTTACAGATGTGAATATCGTAACAGAAATGTTTGCTTGTCACTTGTGGAACATCTGAAATTCTATTCTTTCGGTTAACTGTAAATTGTACGAATTGCCATCAAGATTTTTTTCTCTTGTTAATTCAGCGTCCCTTCAGTCCTCTAATCTTTTTCCAGTGCATTGGCACATTTCTTGGTAGTTTGAGTTTGGAATAAGTTGGGCTGACCCTCATATCAAACTCGTCATTGATATTTTCAGGTAACTCAGTTGTCTCCTTCAGTTTTGAAGTCAGAGGGTGTACCAGTGTACCGTGCTGTTCAGAACCCAGGGGAGTTTGTGCTCACATTCCCGAGAGCCTATCATTCTGGATTTAACTGTGGGTTCAACTGCGCGGAGGCCGTTAATCTGGCCCCTGTTGATTGGTTAGAGCATGGACTAACCGCAGTGGAGCTCTACAGCAAGCAACGTCGTAAAACTTCACTTTCACATGATAAGTTGCTTATAGGAGCAGCTAGTGAAGCTATCGAGGCATTGTGGGAGCTCTCTGTTCTTAAGAATCTAAACAGTAGAAACTTGAGATGGAAAAGTTTCTGTGGGAAGGATGGGATGCTGACTAAAGCTATTAAGGTAAATTTCTGAGTATGTCAAAACATATGGATGTGGATTTGAATTCTTCCGTCTTTGTGATTTGACCCCATTCATTAGGCATCTTCACATATAAGGGATAATTGCACTTAGTATGACATAAACTCCCCTAAATGTACTTTTTAATTTGAAACTCTCCATTATCCAGTACATGTGAATTTCTATTTGAGTTCTTTATCAAAATGAAATCCAATTGGAGGTGAATTACAAAGATTCATATACTTAAAAGTGGACAAGAGGCACAACTGTTTTTAGTAACCTATCTTTTTTCCTACATGCAGAGAAGAATTGAGATGGAGAAGGAAAGACTGGAGCGACTTGTACCTCATGTCCGACTTCAAAATATGGATAGAGATTTTGGCTTGAAAGATGAGCAGGAATGCTTTTCTTGCTACTATGACTTACACCTCTCTGCAGTTGGTTGCAAGTGTTCCCCGGAGCAGTTTTCATGTCTTAAACATGCAAATCTTATGTGTTCCTGTAAACCAGAGGACAAAATTATCCTTGTTCGTTATAACATGGATGAATTGAACACATTGGTACAAGCATTGGAGGGGAAATTGGGTGCTATTGAACTATGGGCATCCAAGGTTTCTGGTTTTCGTTCTTTAAATAGGAGACAGCATAATTTTGTGAAGCTGGATTCAGAGGGAGATGGACTGGAAATGGATCCCTCGATGAAAAATGATGACTTACCAGGTTCGTTGAGAGAGCAAAAACATAATGCGAAGAAGCAGTGCAGATCGTTGCATAGTGAGACACATGCATTCTGGTCAGATCAGCAGAAGCATCTTTTATGTGCACCTGAAAACTTGTCAAAAGGTACCAAAGAAGAAGCTCCTGCCACTAATGGTTATCACTTTGATCTAGATTGCAATAGCTTGTCCAATGAGCGCGGAAAAAAAACAAATAAGACCTCCACATCCATAGCTATACAAGAGATTAATGGTGATTTAAAAGAACCTACAGAAAGAGACAGAGTTATTTTAGTCTGCGATTCTGGATCCTCAGTTTCTCTTGCTACGGAAAAATATCTCCATTTATTCTCTGATGATGCAACCAACTCTTATGCTTCGAATTACAGTAGTGGCAAGAAGTTATTTGGTGTTGATCTTTCCATGTGCTCACTTCGTGTTCGTCAAAATGGAATACTTGACACTGATAAAGATTCCCCGAGCAGCAAAATTTCTGAACAAAAGCTCACCTACCATGTCGACCCGCTAATTTTTGGGTCAATTGTTTCGGGAAGGCTGTGGTGCAATAAGTTGGCCATATTCCCTAAAGGTTTGTTAAATATGATTTTCATACTTAGAAAATTTTCGCATTTGATGTAATATTTTCTTCAAATTTCAATGCCCTCATTATATTGTTTCAATTATTGATGCTCTTTAACAGGATTTAGAAGCCGTGTTAAGTTCTTTGATGTGCTCAATCCTGTGATAATTAGCTGCTATATATGTGAGATCCTGGATGGTGGGCTCCTCGGACCCTTATTCAAGGTAAGATGCTATTCATAACCTATTGAATTATTCAAGTTGAGAAAATATCGGATAATGAGGATGAGTCTTCTGTTACTTTATTCTCTTTTGCATAGTTGTACTAGGAAGGAAATATGTGAGTTATTCTCATTATTTGCATAGTGTGTTTAGAAGGAAAATTTCTCGTTATTACCCTTGTAAACGTAAGCATCTACTTTGAAGAAAGGTTAGAAACACACTCCGGAAAAGTTTTTGAGCATGCTATGTTTTTATAATGCTTTAACATGGGAGTGAATAATTTGCTGATTCACTGCCACTGATACTTACAAAGAAATGTGTTAAATTCCAGTTGCGATCTATTTGCTGGACTCTAATTATTGTCTACTTGGGAGTTTCTGATCTCAGGTTAGCTTAGAAGAGCATCCAGATGAGAGTTTTGTCGGCTCTTCAGCTCAAAAATGCTGGGAAATGGTTTTGCAGAGAGTCAATAAAGAAATCACAACAAAAAGAAATCTAGGAATGCAAGATCTTCCACCATTGCAACCTGAAGAAAGTATCAACGGGCTCGAAATGTTTGGGTTACTCTCCCCAGACATAGTTCAGGTATTACCTATATGGTGTTGCTATGTGCATGATATTGCTCATTCAAGATTGTGACTAACTGGCGTTAGTTTGATCAACAAATAATCGACATGTGATTTTAGAAAAACGAGGAAAGAATTCATAGTTAAATTTGCATGGTAGAAATTAGCAGGATTAACACTACATTTCCCGACAAAAGGACAAGATGCTTCTATCTTGTGATCTTGTAGTTGGTTTATTAGTGGAATCACCTTATCTTTATCCACTTTAGGTTTAGATGCTTGCGCGCACTTCTTGTTTGAACCTAGCCTCAGTTCTTCGAGCTGAGAGGAATCTCTTGTAAAACCTAGAGTATAAAGTGATGGTTCCGTATATCAATTCGAGCCTTTGCTTATAAACAATTTCTTAGTAGAATCAAATTTCTTATTTCTGACTCTTTTAATAAATAAAACTTTTTCCATCTAATGACAACTTGCTTCCAAGTGAATTACTCCTACATTGTGCTAACATTGGTGTATACAGTCCATTGAAGCTCTTGACGAAAACCATCAATGCCTCGAGTACTGGAACAATAAGCTAAAACTCAAGGACGGGTGTGAAAATGTCAAAGGGTCTTCAGGTTTATGGAAGTCTATTAACGTTCTAGAGCAGCCTCTCGTGTCAAGATCTGCTGCAGTGGAAACAGGCCAGGGGTCGGGAGTCAAGTTGGCTGCGGATGAGCAGCAGCAGGCTAATTCAGTAGGAAGTAGCAGAAATCATTCATCTGACAATGAGTTACAGTTAGTACTAAGAAGACTTTTGAGTAAAGCAGATCCCGAAGAACTGAAAATAATGCACAAGATCTTGTGCAGCGGGTCAACAAGCCCCGAGTGGAGAGTAGCATTTGCAACATTGACTCAAGAGATTCAAAGGAACATGTAAATCCCTACAATTTTGGGATCTCTCATTCTTTTAGCTCAGTAGGGGTTATCGCCAGCTTAATTCTTTCGAATATTAGCATAAGGAGGGGAGGAATCTGAGGGTGAGTCGCGCATGTTAGTTGAACTTGCTCATGTTATAGAAGTAAGTTTTTGCTTTTGAATAGGCCTGCAAGGAACTGCATTTAGCTTTCCTTTTATATAAAGAAAAAAAAGTTTATAGTTGGATTGCCCGAGTCAAATCTTAATTTCTTGAAATAAGATCTTATGCTGTTAGAAATGTCTCATTTTTTTGGTTCTGCTATAATTTCGTACTAAAAAGGTCCAATATTGGTACTCCAGTGTCATGCATCCTGATGTTTTACATTTTTGACAGTTTGGTGGTCGTCATTTGGTTTGGAGAAAGACATTCAACAGAGTGAATGTTCCTAGCACAAACGCTTTAACTTAACGAGCGTTTGGACATAAGAATTGTGAAATTCCAGGAAAAAGTGAAGGAAAAAAATTCAAATAAAAATGGTATTTGAAAATTAGAGTTTCATTTGGACATGAATACAATTTGAAGCTGTTTTTGAATTTTTGTGAGTGATTGAAGTGAAAATTTTGAAAAATAGTTTTTTGTAGTTTTTCAAATTTCTAAAAAAAAATTCAAATTCAAATTCAAGTGAAATTTGAAATTTTTATGGTTAAACATTGATTACGAAAAAAAGTGAAAACTTTCCTAAAAAAGTGAATATTTTTTAAGGCCAAACGGGCCCTTAATGATATTTTTCATTCTTATATTGTGTCTCGCTCAAAGTAATAATAAACAACCAAATATTACGTTAGAGAACCAACCACAAGAAGACTTTGAAATTCCCAGATTGAAGAATGTGGTTCTGTCACTTTGACTTGTTATACGTGTAAAATTTCGCCTCCAAACTCATTGACCAACTTGTCCTGTGGATGTTACTATTTCAAAATATTTATAAAAAAAAACATATGAAAAATTTGAAAAACTCTAGAAAAAGTTTTTTTTTTCTTTTTTTCAATTACATATCACCAAACTCTAACATAATACACAAGAAGCATATAAAAAAGATTCTATTAATCATAGGCGGAATTTTTTTCCAGTAATTGTATATTGAGAAAATTGATTATACGGTCAAATATATAGCCCTCAAAGCGGATCTAAAATTTAAGTTTTATGGGTTCAACCTATAAAGTTTTTAGCATTGAACTCATTGTATTTTTAAAGTTATGGGTTCATGTTGCTATATATTGCAATGTTATTGAATTTTTACACATAAATTTATGTTCCGCGCCAAAAGTATTGGATTCAGTTGAATACCTTGCATCCGCCTGTGGTCCCCTCCATACAGTTTTTTTTTGTTCTTCTCAATTTGGTCTTTCTTGTATAATGTACCAATTTCGACAAGGTCTTCATTACGATCATAAATAACATGAAGGCATTAATTGTTGATGTGCCTTGACGACTAAGGTAAATGTATTAAAAGTTCAAGTAACACAGGTAAAGAAGGTTGTCGATTTAACAAAAACTTTTTGAAACTTGATAAAAGAAGTGATTGTGATCCTTGTCATTGAAAACTCGAGTTTCAAGATCTAAATTAGTTAATTTCAATCACAATGTTTTGATGTGAATAATATATAATTTTTGCAGACAAAGTTAAAGGGAATATAATGTTTGAATTCACAGTTATTATAATCTTTAAATGCAAATTCTTTGCTTTTTATTTTTTATTGTTGATAAGTGGTGCATGAACTAAAAGTTATTACTATCATATTTGCATTCGATGAGTGGAAGGAAGAGGGGAAGAGAGAAATTTATCGAGCTACTTTCATTAGGAAGAGTAAAATTATTTACTCTCTTTAACTAGTTTCATCCAAGAAACATAACATTAGATTTTTCTTTATCTGACTGTTACAACGAATTGCATAGGTATTATTTCAGCAAAAACTAAAATTAAATCCAGCACCTCTCTATAGAGATATACACAAGAAAACCAAGCAAATTTGACAGAAAATGCTAATAAACTTGACATCTAAATCTAGACTTAGCTGATATAAACGTTATCACCAGAAATTATTCGATAAAAAGTTTCGATTAAGAAAGACTTTCTTCTTGCAAAGGTGCAGATATCGACACTCTACACAAGCAAAACTCAAAGGGATAAATCACCAAATGTATCCATGTCCTTGGTTTCATATTAACCTGCAAGACCAAAGTGCTCAGTTTAGAAAACCCCAAAATTCAAAAGGCAGCCCGGTGCACTAAGCTCTCGCTATGTGCGGGGTCCGGGGAAGGGCAGGACCACAAGGGTCTATTGTACGCAGTCTTACCTGCATTTCTACAAGGAAACCCCAAAATTCAGAACCTTTAATTTGAGACTGGTTTAAAGAACAGGAATTTAACAAAATAATATAAGATACCTTTCTTGGGACCTGAAGATCCCAATAGCTCAGGTTTCTTTGACCAATATGGCTGAAACCTCTGTCTAGCATACTCCAAGTAATTGAAGTCTATCTTATTCACATGATGCTGAAAAACAGAAAAAACTAACTTCAAAATCGGAAGTTAATAAAAGCTCAGTAACAACATTGTTGTCAAAGGCAAAAAGGTAGAAATGAGCCAAATCCGCTTAGGCTTTAGGCACAAAGTGCAATCAACCAAGTGGCTTAGTGAACAAATGCGAAACTGGAGAAAACATAAAAACTTTATACATATGGAAAACAGTATTAACACATATAACAATTAGATGGATAAAAGAATTAAAAAATAATACAATTAAAAGTATAATAATGTCAATAAAGATAAAAAAAAAACATTTTAAATTTATGATTTAGATGCAAAAATGAAATCTTAAGTTTTCTCAGTTTAATTTAATGACTAGATATTAAATTCTATTATCCTATTCGTAATCATTAACATATTCATTCCAAATGTTTCTGTAACAAGTAATATATCACTTTGCCAGCTATAGTACAGTCCTCTTCAAGACAAGTTTACATGTGATGAGGTGCACGCCTTAACATAGTGGAGACTCTAGTGAGTACTTCATCTCACTTCAGGGCTTAAGCAAGCCTCAAGTGAGCCTTTATCGATACTGATTAACAATTCATGAAATGTTCATTAAGGCTAGCATCTTGACAGACATGCTATTGACTATGGGCTAAGAGCAATTCTCTCTTATTTTTGCTGCCTGCATATGACAACATCATTCAACGAAAAGCTCCACCGACATTTATATTTCCACATTGTAACAAACTTCAAATAGAAGAAAGTGCGGCCATATTGCGAAGCCTAAGCAGCTGAAGAGGCAATTACAAGGATGCACTTTATAACCTTTAAAAAGCAATGCACTTCATACAAAACGGTGCCATTGATTGCAAACCAAGAAGATCCAAGAAAATGATAGTGATTTTACAAAAATCCATTGAGTACTATCCATATTCTTAATACCCACTATGAACTACATCAAACCAGGGAGCTATCACATGAAATGGTTAGGACATTCTAGAAAAGCACATATACAACTGTTATGCTTTCTATTTAAGTTCTCAAGTACTTTTTGTTCGATGGCCAATAGTCTATTAATTGTTGACAGATCCAATCAACTCTTAGTTTTTGACAGACTTCCTACTTATCTTTTGATTATCTATTTAAGTTTTCTACAGTTGGACATGGTGTACAGTTTCAAGCTCCTACTTAGACTATTGATTGTTCTGTTCTGTACACAACTCAACTACTCTAATCATGACAGAATAGATAAAGCCAGGAGGAGTACCGATATTATTCCCCATAGACCCCAAAAAAGATGACTGGCAAGAGTATACTTCTCCACTTCTTGAGCTAATTTCTCAAGTTCCTGTTCGCTGGGAGAGCCACCTGTTTACCAGACTAATACATCTGAGATTCGTAATGGATAAAAGATAGATAAGGCAAGATCTTGAGATTAACTAAATCTATACTTGTTACAACTCTTTGTATACAGATATAAGCTTAGGTGCTTCATCATGAAATTTGAAAGGTTCCACATCTGATAAATGATAGAAGATAGAAGTTTTCACCTACCTGAACTACTTAGATATGCACGCAAAAATCTTTTGCGCTCCTCCAGACCTGCCACATATTGTAAGGGGCTTAATTATATTTAAAGTAAATACCCAAAAAGTACTTGCTAGCAGCATTTCGGGGAACCAGAACAACAAAAGACATTTGCACAAGATGATTTACTATTGACTGACCGGGATACTTGCTGAAGTCCATGATATGAGGTGTTTCTGTATGGTAGTCAGCAACCATTTCACAGAAGTGATTTGCGATATCAAATGCAATGTGGTTGTAACCAGCATATTCATAGTCCTGTTAATAGGGAAAGAACTAAGAAAATAACAGACAAATAATAACTTATAAGACAGTATATCAGCTCTGACAATAAAATTATCAAGGTGATCCTGCTACAGAGATGAAGAGAATATAACGACCAGATGATTGAATTTTTTTTATTAGAGAGGAAGATGACACAAAAGCCACAGTGAACCCTTCAGAAACCCACAAAGAAGCTTTACCAAAGCATTTCACCCCCAAACTGAATAAATTATTTCTTAAAAAGACATAGATACTGAGCAAGCATAGAAGCTTCAGTAAGAATAAATAGATTTGACAGTATCTATCGTATCTTTTTGCTCCTTTCCAAGTGGATGAGCAATAACTGAAATAAAATACAAAGGCAAAAAACAAAACTGCAGCTCCAAAATAATTAAGAGCTTGATGAAGTTGTTGAAGCAGGACCCACCTACATCCTGCAGCAACAAGTCAGGATCAGGGGCAGATGTAGCATATACTCGGCGGGTTCAATTGAACCCATAACTTTCAACGCGAAGTAAAAATTTATATGTAAAAATTCTTTAAAATTGCAAAAATAGTAGATACGAACCCATAACTTTAAAAATGTAATGGGTTCAATGCTAAAAATTTTAAAAGTTGAACCCATAAGGTTTAAATCCTGGATCCGCCTCTGGTCAGGATACAAGCATTGCCTAGTTATCAATCGTGGAAACACAAATTAGATTCAGATGTAATCAACATACATGCAAACATTGTTATAGCTAAAATCTAGGTAGATATGCATCTTATTTAGTTAATTGCATTTTTCTTCTAACTTTTCATCTGTAGAGATCATCTATGATTTAGAAACTTAGTACTTACAATAAAGGTTATCGATTTTATCTCTTCATCAATCATTATGTTCCCATACTGCAAGTCATTGTGGCAG